CCAGCAGCACCCGGTCGGCCCCCGGCAAGTCCCGTTAACCACGCTATTGATCCCACTGCACCACGAGGCGCACCCGACACTCATTTGGTTCCAGCCGTGGGACCCCCTGACGAGCGCGTGAATGTCGCACCCAACGGCCATGAACTTGTTCAATTTACCCGAAATGGTGAACTTGGATAAAGACAGCTCGGAGGTGGTGGAGTAGAGTCGAGAGCCCGAGCGGTCGTAGCAGTCGGCGGCAACCGAGGATTTGATTCTCATTAGGCCGTCAAGGGTTATGCCGAGGATCTCGGCGGGGCCCGCATTAAGGAAGGGCTTTGGCCCGCGGCGGGAAAAGAAGAGTGTGTTGAAAATTCTTTGTTATTATTTAACCAACTCATCAAGCGACCTGGTCAGAAGAAAAAGACAAGGTTCAACTAATAATTAATAGTATGAATAAAAAGACTCCCTGGCTGGAGTGCTCGCCAAATCGTGAAAAATTCCTCATTATTCTACGTATCAGCGTGGTTTATCCATAAATGGTCTTAAAAATTGCACCACCGTTGTTAGTTTTGACTTTTGATTCTGCAACCAAAAAAAATAAAAAATAAAAATGCAACTTTTGGAACCAAATGTTGTAGTATATTAAGAAAGTTTGATCTAGAGAATTTATGAAAAAAAAAAAGAAAAAAAAAATCAAAATTCCTAATAGCAAATTAAATATTTGACAATCAATATGTAACTTTGAAAATGATTTTAAGAGGCATGTTAATATCAATTATACATTTAATGGTAAAATGAATTTAAAAAGACATGTAAAATAAATAAATATATGTTTGATTGTAGACTACTTAAGCGGATACATACATTGATTAATAGCATTACAACATATACTAAAATATTAACTTTTTGTATTCAAATTTATAGTGTTACTATAGTTAACTTTTTGTAAGCAGTGCTACCATATCATTCTGTGAGTCTCCAGATTTTCACTACTGGCTTTCCTCCAACCTTTGGGCCTGGCCTGCTTTCTGGGCCTCGAACGACGGCTTCCTGTGCCGCAGGTTGAGACCCTCTCCAGTGCCGGCCCTCCTCCCCGAGCCACCATCATCGAGGTTTGGGTTTTCCTCCCTGTCCTTCTCAAACCAGTCGCTATCTATAAATAACCAGTCGCTATCTATAGACACATCGTTGTAGTCCATTGAACAGCACATTTCCATGGACGAGGTTTCTGTTTCCTCATCTTCCACGAAGTTCTTGATTTGAAGGTCCATCAACTCGGCTGCGACTTCCTTCATAGTCAGTGTCATCCGGTGGGACGAGCACACTAAGCACTTGTCGGCAAGTTTTCCAACTCGCATCAACATTTCAACCTCAACTTCACCACACGCCTCCAAACGACTGTCCAAGATCCTAACCAAGTTGTCCCCTCTAACCGACTCCACAAAGTTCTGGACCAAATTAAGATCTTCCCCTATCAATAGCTCCACCAGCACCACTCCAAAACTGTAGACGTCATCACTCTCTTCTGTCTGTACCTCAGGCCACGTTATCGCGAAATCGCACAATTTCATGTTGTGGTCGTCGAGCAGTAAAATCCTTGAGCTACTAAGCCTCCCGTGGATAACCGGATGCAATTCCTCAAGCACGTCGGCTGTTTCCATTGCTATCCTCAAACGGACTCTCCACGAAAGAGTGCGCGCCAGGTCGTCGTCAAGGATGTGGTCTTTGAGGGTCTTGGTCGTGGTGGTGATACCTTCGTAGATGACCATCGGGTCATTCGTCTCCAAACAGCAGCCGACGAGTTTTACTGAATAGTAGCTGTCGATTTGAGAGAGGGCGACAATCCGGGCAATGAAAGCCTCGGCTTCCCCATCGCCTAATTTTTGAATCTCTATTGTTACCTGATCACCGCTTTCTAATGTTCCTGTGTAAGTCTCATTTGCACCGGCTTCCTTAGAGACCTTGTTGTTGCGGTCGCAATTGTTCGTGGCTGTCTGGATGTCTTGTGCCGTGAAGACAGAGACTGTTTCTTGAACCTGCTTCGTGTTTTTCAGGATGTCTCCGCCATTTCTTATGAATAGATCTCGTCTGAATCTGTCGGATTTGTTTTCCTTGCTACTTCTGAATATCCACAAACTAGCCACAACAGCAGGAATTATGAATCCTGGATGGAAATTGAACCGAATTCAGCAAACTCATACTTATTTAATGCTCAAAACACTTTCAGTGGTTTCTATCAAAGAATGGGCATTAATCATACGTAGGATGAAAAGGAGAGGATCGTGCACGAGAAGGTACAATGATGCAGTCGTGCGTAACAGTCCCGCTTTGCAAAAACTATGACCAGTTTAAGTGTATAAATGTGTCGACAAAGTATTATTAGTATATGATTTGATTGAAAAAACCCATTGTAGCTTCATTAACTTACTCCATTTGAAAGGAATTTACCTAAAGCAATGTAGATGATGAACAGGGGAGGACCATTGATAATTCGAGGGGAATCATTAAGATGAGGATAGCAGCCGGTACCATCTTTTTTCCCGTCTCCTTGGAATCCCTCCGGACATGAACATGAGTAGCTTCCCTCCAAATTCTCGCACGGCCCTTCACAGGGTTGGAAAGCAACACATTCATTGATATCTGTGGACCAAGAAATGTAGGAGGAAACATTCATGATTTATATATTTCAATGCAAGTTTGAATTTGCAAGTACATATACAAGTGTTTGCAGGCTGTAGATTAAGATTTAATATTTAATACAAATTTACCTCGACAGCCATCAGCTAGGTAAGGATTGCCCTCAAACCCTCCCAAACACTCGCAAATATACCCCACTCCGATCTCCGAATCACGACAATCACTGTGGTTCGCCCGGCAAGCGAATCCCGGCCCGCTTTCCCGGGCTTCCCGGCAACTCACATTCCCCACGAACCACTCGACAACGACGGGCAAGCTCTTCCCGTGCCCCAAACTCCCGAGATCCGTGGGCACAAACTCGTAAGCCCCTTCCTCGACCACAAACGCGTATCCACACGTGTTGACCTTTGTGCGGTTTCTAAAACTCCGAATGTCCACCAAAAGGTCGCTCACCCCTTTGGGAATGGAAGTCCAGCAGCACCCGTTCATCCCCCAGCAAGTTCCGTTAACGACGCTACTAATCCCACCGCACCACGAGGCGCACCCGACACTCACTCGGTGGGACCCCTGGAGGAGCGCGTGAATGTCGCACCCGACGGCCATGAACTTGTTCAGCTTGCCCGAAATGGTGAACTTGGATAAAGACAGCTCGGAGGTGGTGGAGTTGACTTGGGAGCCTAAGCGGTCGTAGCAGTCGGTGGCGACCGAGGATTTGATTCTCATTAGGCCGTCGAGGGTTATGCCGAGGATCTCGGCGGGGCCCGCATTGAGGAAGGGCTTTGAGTTTCGATCGCATTCGACGAGGAAAGAGTGGTCGAGGCTGCAGTTGGGAGTCGTGCCAAAAGGGAAAGGGATGCTTACATTCCCGCAGGTTTTGGGGCAGGCGGCAGTCGGCAGGGGTGGTGGTAACGAGGTAATTTCAGTTGACAATAGCAATATAGCCGCCATGATTGTCAGCACAAATATGACTTGAGAAATCATTTTCTTGTTTTTTCCAGTTTTGTGGGTGTCTCTTTTGGCAAGACAAGACAAGACTTGGCCTTTTTGTAAGCACACAAGTCAAGATTGATTCAGATTGTCTCTTTGGAAATTTCTTTGTGATTTCCTTCCAAGTAGACTTTGAAAATTCTTTGTGGTATGTAGAGCAGTAAAAATTGAGAATTCACATTGAACGCGGCTGAAGTAAATGTTTAAGAAGGCCCACCTCACCTGCACTTTGTAGCCTCGTTTATTGCGTACTAGTAAGGTCCACGTGCTTTGCAAACGATGATCTTTGATGGATTCACGCCATACAAACGAGGCCACTTTTCCTCTGTTTTCAGGCAAACTCCCAACTGACCTGATTTTATCTTCTTCAACCCAAACATGCCCCAAACAAGAGACCACGTCTCGGTCCACATCGGCACCCTACTCCTCCAGCAGCGTTCCTCCCCGACCAGCTCCACCATCTTCCGAGTCGACCACGATTTGCGCCACGGCAGCGAAAACCTCTACGACCCGAAAGTCGTCTCGATCGGCCCGTTTCACCACCAGAAAACCCGTCTCCAGAATATGCAGCAGCACAAGCTCACCTACCTCAATCACCTGCTCACACGCCGCGAGGAGTCCACCGTCGACAGATACGTGGAGGCCGTGAGGTCCATGGAGGAAGAAGCCCGAAACTCCTACTCCGAGCCTATCGAGCCCAACCGGGACAAGCTCGTGGAGATTCTTGTGCTCGACGGGCTTTTCGTGGTCGAGCTGGTCCGGAAGTACAAACTCGACTACCTGAGGATGCCGGACGACCCGATTATTCAATACGAGCAGGTCCTTGGCAGGGTCCGGCGCGACCTGATGCTCGTCGAGAATCAGGTCCCGTTTTTCGTGCTAGACCAGCTTTTCAACATGACAAAGGGCGGGAACCCAGACGACGACATTTTTCACCTCGTCCATTATTTTTTCGACGACATTTCGCCGTGGCCGGATTTCACAAGAAAACCGGTGGCAAATAACGCCATCGATCACCTCCTTGGCCTCGTCTACAAAATCTGGTTCTCAGACTGCTTCTCTTTGTTCGAGACAATGGAAGCCGGAAGTCCCGTTGACGAAAAAATTATGGCCATAAATTCGGCCTCCGAGCTGCAGGAAATAGGGGTCAAGTTCAAAAGGAGCAAGCGCCTCAACATCACATTCGATGGGGGCGTCCTCAAAATTCCAAACATTAGCTTGTGCAATGAAACCGAGTCGATTTTTAGGAATTTGATCGCGTACGAGCAGTTTTTCGCAGACGGCCGTCCAAAGTACGTGACGGTCTATGCCTTCTTCTTGCACTGGCTCGTGAACCAGCCGAAGGATGTGGAGATTTTGAGGCGACGCAGTATTTTGACCAACTTGTTGGGCGGAGACGAGATGGTATACCGTGTTTTCGAGCGTCTCGGGAGAAATGTCATGGTGTCGTCGTGCGATTTTCTCTACGCTGGTGTTTTCGAGGCACTGAACAAATATTGCGGCCGGCGTACAAATAGGTGGATGGCGGTTTTGAGGCGGGATTATTTCAGTAGCCCGTGGTCGTTTATCAAGTTTTTTGCAGCTTGTTTGCTGCTGCTGTTCACGTTGATACAGACTATGTTTACTGTGAAGTCCAGTATTTGAACTACATGTGTTTATCTATGGGTTTGAAGAACAAGGTTTGATTTTGGGATAGGGGAACAAGTTAAGGTATGGTTGTGAGATGATGCAGGAGGCTTTTCTACTTATTGCTTTTGTTATAAAATTATTGTGTGTGTATTGCTATTATCATGATTTCTGTTATTTTTTTTTTCAGTGGTTAATTTATATGGGCACAGATTCTAAATTTGATATTGTATGGTTAATTTTATTTGTGTTGTTTGTAATTTTTAGCCATGCCGAACGAAAGATCTATCTTGGGTCGTTTTCACAAAGAAGGTTGTTTGGAGCTTCGGTTACTAACTAGATGTCAAAAAGCACAAAAGATCGAAAACAAATGTCCTAAACATTCTAGTAAGATTGATCTGGGTTGATTTTAAACTAATTTCAACAATAAATTAAACGCAATTAAAGAAGCAAACTTTTATTGAAGATCTTAACTTTACCTAGGTCGAAGTTTTCAAAATCCAAGAAAAGACAAAAACAAAGAGAAACGAGCTAAGTCTAATGCAATTAGAGAACGATCAATTGCAAAATAACCGACCTTTAAACCAAGTCTCGATTTTTACTTTGAACGATCAATTGCTAAGTCTAAGCAATTACGTGCCACGCATGGACGGACAGCTGGCGGTAGCAAGAGCATTCGGCCACAAGAGGTTGAAGGAACATCTGAGTTCAGAACCTGATGTGGCAGTCAGATGTTATAAGCGATGACACTGAATTTATGATCTTGGCTAGTGACGGCATTTGGAAGGTTTGGTTTAGTTATATGTATAGTTATATAAATTTTTTTGATGTAATATTATCAGGTTATGACAAACCAAGAGGCGGTCGATTGCGTAAAAAATATCAAAGATGCAAGAAAGGCGGCCAAACGACCTAATGCACAGTAAGCAGAAATTTGGCACAAAATATCAAAACCTCCTTAAGCAAGAAACAGACAGTTGCAAGATAAAATTTTGTAAATATACTTAATTAAACATGCCATTCCACATTAGGAAATGAAGCTCAAACACTTAAGAGGAATGTTGAATTGTCTGCATAGATTAAAAACAGGAGCTATTTTTTAGTTCAATTTTTTCATGACAGAAGAGAGTAAGCAATACTAGTCGATCATTTCGAGTCTCCAGATTTTGAATATTCAGTACTGGCTTTTTTCTAACATTCGGGCAGGGCTGGCTTTCTGGGCCTCGAGTGGGCTCTTCCTGCGCCGCATGTTGTGGCCCACCAGGCGCCTACGGCAGCTCCTCTTTGTGCTGTCGAACTCGGATAGCTCGTGAAACCTGGGATTTGGATCCAACATTCTAACAATTTAGAACACTAACTGGTCTTCTTCTTCTTCTTTGTTAGCATGTGGTAGCAAAGTATCTCATTTTCTACAGTACTTCTTAACATCAAAAGTTAAGACTTCAAATCCAAATGTAACAGTTAGTTTTCTTAAAATAGTTATCAAAACCACCTTTACAAGCACTTACAAACAAAATAAAAACAAGACTTAAACAGTAAAACAGTACAGAATTAGCTGCCCAAAATGTCAGATTGTTCTCCTAAAAACCCCTCATTTGCCAAATCCCACAACACAACAACATGACAACAAAATCAAAGATCCAATTTTTTATTTTTTTTTTCCTTAACATGTGTATTTATTCTAAAGATCATCAAATTTTTGGGGTCCAAGAAAAGTTTGCACCTGCTACACTGCTGACAAAACCTCTGCCTCAAGCCATCAACCAACACAACAGGGGACTTGGAGTGGACCACACAAACCCTGTGCCTTTGGTAGTACTTCTTGAACCCCTCTAGTCCGGCCCCACATTCCTCCACCACGCAAAGCGGCGGCTGCCCCGCCGCTCCACTGCCGGCCCTCCTCCTCCCCGAGCCACCGTCATCGAGGCTCTGCCTTTTCCTCTTCAGCTGGACCTCCACAAACCTCACCTTTTTCTCCTCTTCATCGGACGAGGTCGCTGTTTCCTCATCGTCCACCAGGTTCTTGATTTCAAGGTACGATGAGATCATCTCTTGCATGTTGGGATCCATTTTTTTTTTTCTCTCTTTTCTTTCTTGATGGGTTTTTTGTTTTTGGGTTTTGGTTTTCAAGATTGTGGAGAGTGGAGGAGGAAAGTGATGGTTTTAAGTGTAAAGTGTACAGTGTGTAATCAATGAAGCTCAAGAAAAAAAAAAAAAAAAA